CACTTACCACTTATGTCAGACCAATCCTGGAGTATGCAGCTCCAGCCTGCAGTCCCTACCTAGTTAAACACAAGGCAATGTTAGAGAAGATTCAGAGGTATACCACCAAACTATTCCCAGAACTGAGAGGTAGGAGCTACGAGGAAAGGCAATGGGAGCTAAACCTCACGTCCCCGATAGACAGAAGAGTAAGGGGATACATGAGCACCGCCTACAAAATTCTCAGGGGAATTGATAGGGTGGACAAAGACAAGCTATTTAGCATAGATGGACACGATTAAGAGGACTCAGGTGGAAACTTGCCAATCACCGACTCCGCCACGGCAGATGCCGGCTCACAACACACTGCACAGTACTGTGTACACTTTATCTACTGTGGCTAATAAGATTACCGGCCTCAACAGGGAATTCGTGAGGATTCTTAACCTTCTCTTTACTGCAAACGGAACTTCAGACTTTCACATTTCCAGAGGAAGTGTTTGCCACCTCTACTCCAGTTGCAAGTTCTACTCTTGCTCCTGACACAGACATCACTGTCAACGCTGGCTCCTGGGTTAGCGAAAAGTAAGCCTTGGTCTCTTCCTAAACCCTTCCCAGTGTGAAGTAGTCTCGTCCAACCCAGACATCATAGCTAGCATAAGATCCATCTTGCCCGGAGCCCACGTCATTATAGCTGTGAACAGCACACTCCCTGGAGCCACCCCCCCCCCCCCCTGGGTCTAATGACATTCAGGAGATCCTCGATAAAAAAAAATCACAGACCTCAGGTGGATGGAAGACAGGATACGTGACATCGATGCCCACGATGCTTTTTATCTCCTCACTATATGTCTATCCCTTCTGAGGCTAACCTACTCTGAGGTGCAACGATTTTGAAGAGTATGACTTCTTACTCAAGACAATGCTAGAAAAGTTCTTTTTCATGCAAGCCTGAAATAAATAAATGTATATATATATATATATATATATATATATATATATATATATATATATATATATATTATTAAATATGACCGAAAAAGTAAGATTAATAATTCTAACACGAATTTTCTCAATCTTTCGTACATTTCTTTTCACTGTTGGTAGTAATTCAAAAATCAATTCTCCAAAATTCATTTTTATTTCTAGTCTGACGCGACACTTGAGCGCGTTTCGTAAAACTTATTACATTTTCAAAGACTTTAGTTTAAACATACACAACTGAATAGAACTTACACATCTCCGATTTGTTTATATCTACATTTGAGTGAGGTGGTATTTAATAAGGTATTAATTTCATCAACACAAGACAGAACATGAAACAATGGGTATTGAATAGAAGTGATTGTAGAAAGCCTATTGGTTCCTATTTCTTGATGCTTCTATATTGGAGCGGAGTCTTGAGGTGGGTAGAATATAGTTGTACATTAATTGGCTGTTGATTGCTGGTGTTGACTTCTTGATGTGTAGTGCCTCGCAAACGTCAAGCCGCCTGCTATCGCTGTATCTATCGATGATTTCTCTGTTGTTTACTAGGATTTCTCTGGCGATGGTTTGGTTGTAGGAAGATATTATATGTTCCTTAATGGAGCCCTGTTGCTTATGCATCGTTAAACGCCTAGAAAGAGATGTTGTTGTCTTGCCTATATACTGGGTTTTTTGGAGCTTACAGTCCCCAAGAGGGCATTTGAAGGCATAGACGACGTTGGTCTCTTTTAAAGCGTTCTGTTTTGTGTCTGGAGAGTTTCTCATGAGTAGGCTGGCCGTTTTTCTGTTTTTATAGTAAATCGTCAGTTGTATCCTCTGATTTTTGTCTGTAGAGATAACGTTTCTATTAACAATATCTTTCAGGACCCTTTCCTCCGTTATATGAGCTGTGGAAAAGAAGTTCCTGTAAAATAGTCTAATAGGGGGTATAGGTGTTGTGTTGGTTGTCTCTTCAGAGGTTGCATGGCGTTTCACTTTCCTTCTTATGATGTCTTCGACGAAACCATTGGAGAAGCCGTTGTTGACTAGGACCTGCCTTACCCTACAGAGTTCTTTGTCGACTTGCTTCCATTCTGAGCTGTTGCTGAGAGCACGGTCGACATATGCGTTAACAACACTCCTCTTGTACCTATCTGGGCAGTCGCTTTTGGCATTTAGGCACATTCCTATGTTCGTTTCCTTAGTGTAGACTGCAGTGTGGAAACCTCCGCTCTTTTCCATGACTGTTACATCTAAAAAGGGCAGCTACCCATCCTTTTCCATCTCGTAAGTGAAACGCAGCACGGAACTCCGGAACTCCGGGGTCGCCATGGGTTCTCCCCTAGGTGTCCTGTTTGCAAACTTCTACATGGGTACCATCGAGCAAAAAGTCTTAGTCGACATGAACTTGAAACCGGCCATATACTGCAGGTATGTTGACGACATTTTTACACAGGTACCTGATGTCAGACATCTGCAGGAGCTGAAGGAGGCATTTGAGCGGAGTTCCGTGCTGCGTTTCACTTACGAGATGGAAAAGGATGGGAAGCTGCCCTTTCTAGATGTAACAGTCATGGAAAAGAGCGGAGGTTTCCACACTGCAGTCTACACTAAGGAAACGAACATAGGAATGTGCCTAAATGCCAAAAGCGACTGCCCAGATAGGTACAAGAGGAGTGTTGTTAACGCATATGTCGACCGTGGTCTCAGCCACAGCTCAGAATGGAAGCAAATCGACGAAGAACTCTGTAGGGTAAGGCAGGTCCTAGTCAACAACGGCTTCCCCAATGGTTTCGTCGAAGACATCATAAGAAGGAAAGTGAAATGCCATGCAACCTCTGAAGAGACAACCAACACAACACCTATACCCCCTATTAGACTATTTTACAGGAACTTCTTTTCCACAGCTCATAAAACGGAGGAAAGGGTCCTGAAAGATATTGTTAAGAGAAACGTTATCCCTACAGACAAAAATCAGAGGATACAACTGACGATTTACTATAAAACCAGAAAAACGGCCAGCCTACTCATGAGAAACTCTCCAGACACAAAACAGAATGCTTTAAAAAAGACCAACGTCGTCTATGCCTTCAAATGCCCTCTTGGGGACTGTAAGCTCCAAAAAACCCAGTATATAGGCAAGACAACAACATCTCTTTCTAGGCGTTTAACGATGCATAAGCAACAGGGCTCCATTAAGGAACATATAATCTCTTCCCACAACGAAACCATCGCCAGAGAAATTCTAGTAAACAACACAGAAATCATCGATAGATACAGCAATAGCAGGCGGCTTGACGTTTGCGAGGCACTACACATCAAGAAGTCAACACCAGCAATCAACAGCCAATTATTGCACAACAATATTCTACCCACCTCAAGACTCCACTCCAATATAGAAGCATCAAGAAATATGGACCAATAGGCTTTCTACAATCACTTCTATTCAATACCCATTGTTTCGTGTTCTGTCTTGTGTTGATGAAATTAATACCTTATTAAATACCACCTCACTCAAATGTAGATATAAACAAATCGGAGATGTGTAAGTTCTATTCAGTTGTGTATGTTTAAACTAAAGTCATTGAAAATGTAATAAGTTTTACGAAACGCGCTCAAGTGTCGCGTCAGACCAGAAATAAAAATGAATTTTGGAGAATTGATTTTTGAATTACCACCAACAGTGAAAAGAAATGTACGAAAGATTGAGAAAATTCGTGTTAGAATTATTAATCTTACTTTTTCGGTCATATTTAATAATATATGTCTACAGGAAAGACTGCTACCAAAATATACTAATATATATATATATATATATATATATATATATATATATATATATATATATATATATATATATATATATATATATATATATATATATATATATATATATATAAGAAGGGGACAGGGGAAGCAACCTTCCTCTGTTTCCCATCCTCCCCCACTATCCCCCACTCCCCTGTTCCCTGGTCATCCCCACCATTCTCCATTCCCTTGTCCCCTCGTCCTCCCCCACCATTACCCCCTTCCCTGTCCCCTTCCCCTCCCCACCATTCCACTCCCGTCCCTTCATCCTTCCCACCATTCCCCACTCCCTCGTCTGATGATCAAATGATCTGATGTTCCCATCAGAAAATTGGGAACATCAAATGATCTGGGGCTAGATTCATGAAGAATTTATGCAAACACTTACGAACCTGAACATCTTTTCTCAATCTTTGGTGTCTTTGTTTACAATTAATAAACACTTAATGAGCTCCGAAGCATCAGGAGACTGTTTATAACAATAACAACCGTTGATTGGCAAGTTTTCATGCTTGTAAACTGTTTAATTAAATTAATAAATGTAACCAAAGCCATCAAAGATTGAGGAAAGATGTACACGTTCGTAAGTAATTGCGTAACTGCTTCATGAATCTTGCCCCAGATTTTCCCATCACTGAAATATAAGAAACAGTTGAAAAAAGAAATGAAAACAATGAAAAAATAAAAAAATAAACTATACTCACGAAATTAACTGTATGGTAAAAACACAATTTTTAAATTCCAACGCAATATCATACAAAATAATTAAATCAAAATGAAAATAAATCGAAATATATGAAAATTTAATTTATCAATGAAATCGGAAATATTGAATTGGTATCGTCAAATAATTAGTATAGTGTGTGTTGGTCTTATGTGCAACAGATGGCGATGTGTTTCAAAAGACGCATGTTTTTACCTGTTACAGGGTATCTACAGGGTGGCATCTATATGGTAGTATATAAAAACACGCGCGTATTTGAATGGAACGTTGTGTGAAAATTTCAAAGCAATTAGTGAAGAACTTTAAGAGATTACAACATGTGTTGCTCTTACGTCCAACAGATGTCTTTAAAAAAAAAAAAAACATGTTTTTTCCTGTCACAGGTAAGGCATGTATATAGTAGGTATATAAAAAGGCACGCC